CTTCCAAGAGAAGTGGTGCAGGCTCCTACCCTGGGGGTTTTTAAGAGAAGGTTAGATGAACACCTTGCTGGGGTTGTTTGACCCCAGTACTCTTTCCTGCCATGGCAGGGGGTCAGACTAGATGATCTGCTCAGGTCCTTTCCGACCCTAGAAACTATGAAACTATAATTGAAAATATAAAATTAATGGACTTTACAGGTTAAGAGATGTAGTTTAAAGCTACTGCAGGGGAAAATGTTGTGATTTGCCTCCACAACTCATTGGTTCAAAGTGGGGGAAAGGAAATCCACAGCATTTTGAGCAGCTATAAATGGGGAGAGAATGGGACCTTGAGAGAAAAATGTTGCAGTAGTCAAAGTAAGATGACATTCTCTCCCTTTTAGTATCAGTTTAAATGGTTAATACCAGATTACAGTGCTATGACTGTAGAAATGTCTCTTATCTATCCTTATAACAAGGTCACAGAAGTATTAATTTGGCCCTGGCAGTGCCATTAGAGTCCAAACAGAAAAGAAGTATGAGGTGTTAATTTTGAAAGCTGGACCGTTTAAATGTCAACTTTGAAAGGACACTGTCAATGTTACTCATGCTAGTTTTGCTATATTAGTTTTCTGATGGAGCACTCCCTTTAGTGGAGTTGTTTGTTTGTTTTGTTTTTAATTACTTCTAATAATAATGATGCTTTTTTCTGCCCTTTTTATTGAAAAAAGGAAGACTTATAACTATTGCACCAAATATCTTGGGGCACCTCTATGCATACCCCTCCCTGCCCCTTTTTAATTTTCAACTTTGCTGCTTTATGGGTGTTTCCCTATATTGTGTATTTATTGTAATCTAAGATAAGCCTCCTTTTAACATGGAGGGGAAAAAAGCCCCATCTTGGATTGTACCCTGCTAGGGGCAGCATGGGTCGAGATAGAGGGGGAAGGGATGCACAGTAGGGTAGACTGTGTGATGTATGGCCTGAGGGATGCTCAGAGGGGACTGCACAGTGTGGGGTGACCATGCAGCAGCAAGAGAGCTGCTCTGACTGGCTCTGGCTCCAACTCCAGGTAGTAACTACTACCTGACTGGGGCTAAGGCTGGGGCTGGATCCAAAGTTTCTGCACATAGTAAGTGGTAGCTGGTGGGGCAGGAGAGAACCAGGTGGGAGGCACCAAGGGTTAGTGATGTGGGGGGTGGGGAGAGAAGGGGAACTGGTAGTAAAGGTAAGGGGACAGGTCCCAGAGGAACAAGGGGCATGGGTCAGATCTGCCCTGTGTTGCTACTTTTCCTGCCACACCAAGGGGGGAGGGAATAAATTTAAGATGACTCTCCAGTCAAATTTATAATATTCCACATCTAGAATCTACTTATTTGGGGGTCGTCTGGAATTCAAAGTTATCTTACATTTGGGTGAATACTGTAATAGGTTACGACTGTTTTTTCTATGTATTATGACATAGAAAGTGCAATTGAGCATCACTTAAAAAAAATCAAATTATCCACAAACTTCTACAGAAAAGTTAAAGGCAAATAAGCCCTAATTCAGTTGTAGGAATCTTGGTGCTTGCCTTTAACAACCCCAGGGCACAAGTATTTTGAGATCAGAAAATATTATTCTCACACTTTGTTATTATTTCACTGCTGATCATTTTAAACTAGGGGTGCTCAAACTCTGTCCTGCAGGCCAAATGCATCTTGTGGATCCATTGCATTTCGCCCAAGGGGCTCTCCATGTGCTGAGAAATATGGCAGTGGGAGAGCAGTGGCCATTAATACCACCATTAATACCAACACCTTTTCCTTCTGCCAAATTCCCATTTCCCCCCCTCCCCCCCCGAAGTGAGATTTGGGGCAAATCATCCCCAGTCCCCCATGTGGCTGGATTGGGGCCGTGCCATGCCCTCTTCTCCTACGCAGCTGGACTGGGGCCATGCCAAGTCCCCCATCCTCTATAGGACTGAATGGAGTCCTTCTGCACCTACCCCAGGAGCTGGATTGGGGCCATTGCTGGATCCAGCCCATGGAGCAACCTCAGGGAAAAAGGTTGAGCACTGCTGTTTTAAACATGCACACACACATATCAGCTCTGGGATTAGGGACATTATCTTTTCGTTTTCCCCACTGTACATTTTGGCAATGTGTTACCAGAAGACAGAGTAGACCCTGTTTACATATAATTTAACTGAGCAACTAATTATAAACAGCTCTGCCTACAGAAGCTTAACTTTTTTTTGTTCAGGGATGTGGTAAAGCTCCAGTGACAGAAAATTATAGGTTACAAAACTAAACATCACAATTTTAGGCTTATTCTACTCTAAGAAGTTTTACCAGTATGTTATTTGGCTAAATAAGTCAAAATATCCTTTGGTGTGGAAGCATCTCTGCCTAGAAAAGCACATGTCATTCAGGGTTGTGGTGGAGCTACAGTGGCAGAAAAACTGTTGGCACCTGCTGGGGGCTGTGCATAGTGCATATCTTAGGAGCTGTAGTATTGACAAGTCCTTAATATGACTACTGCAGCAAACAGGAAGCTTTGTCTTAGAACAACAAGCACATAGACAAAATCATCCTCAGCAACCATTATTCCTGGTTCTGGCAGGGCATATGTGGTTCCCCTTTGGGGACCCCTTCCTTTCTTCCTTCTATGGGGCTGACAGCAAAGTAGGTTGTGCTCCTGGTGGCTCCCCTAAGAAGTTAGAGATGCAAAATCTGTTCACTGACCCTGAATGTTTTCTGCAGAAGATTAATATTTTTTTTCCAATTGTTTTAAAGATCCCAAACAATGAGGCTAGGGACAGACATTCAAAAAGCCTGAATTGATTCAGTCTTCACAGGTTAATCTAACCTGCAAAACTTGAACCAATTTGGAAGAGGATAGACATTCCCTTTTCATTCCAGAAATACAGGCACATGCCTGCAGTGGCTCAGGCTAGAAGCTGGGGGGTGCTAAAGCAGCCCTCCCTTCCCTTCCACAATGCTGAGCTGAGAGGGGGCATGGTCAGGCCCCAGCAGGATGCTCTGATTAGGGAGGGGTTCCCTCCCCAGCAGGGAGTCAATAACACTGTTTATCACCCCTAACTCAGTGTTTATCAACCCATTAAGAAAACAAAAGCCTTTCTCATTAGTTCAAGCTCTTCTTAAACAACTTTTTCCAAGGAAGGACATTACCAGCTACCTGTTGATTAGCCCCAAAAAGCCCTAAGCTGACACTGTCCTGCCTGCCTTTGTCCTGTCTCCCACAGCATGGACTGTAGCCAGCATGTGGTATGTTAGCTAATGCTGAGAGGTGTCTGTGTAAGGCAGAGGGGATGGGGGATACCCTTGCTTCAGCAGGGAGTGGTGAGGGGGAGCAGGAAGAAGCCAGACAGACCCCACTGTACATGCAGTCTCTGCTGGAGCTGCAGCCAGGCAGCAGAGGGGTGGGGCCAACCCAAAAATGGTTTTGCTGTTTTGAAGCACTGTTATGTTTTGTTTCGTCAAAACTTTTGACGCTGTTTCAACTTTTTGCCCGCAGGCTATAATGAGGAATCATGAAAATACCTATAACCTTGTCATTTTCTGCATGAGTTGGATGAAAATTGCAGGGATGGTAGCCCCTGCTGAGGCCATGAAGCCTGCCAAGTTTCAGGGAGATAGAGACAGAGGGTTTTGTGAAACTGCACCTCAAACTGTTCAAAACAAAACTAGTATTACTTGCCGGCAGCAGCATCCTGCTGTCATCCCGGACGCAGATCCAGGGGCCGCACCCCCTAGGAGGAGTCTGGCACAGCCCTGCAGCCATCTTGGGGGGTGCAG